GATGTCTCGTAAACAGCGTCAACCTATATGTTCAATTAAAGAAAAACGGCTGCAGTAGAACGGGAATCAGCCGTCAACCAATTAAACTCTTTTCCACGCACTTTCATATAAAAATGAAAGTCCCTTCAACAATGTTATCTCAAAAGATTAATAGAAACCCAGTTGATCTTTGGGTAAATAATGCAAGGATTCTCGTAGCCTGATATACACCGCTTACTTAAGTAGAAAAAACTTATTTACGGGTGTGTTAATAAGCTGAAACATTATTTGCGTTTGACGGGCTTGTAAAATTTTATCCTGAATATGCTATAAAGTAGCCCATTCTGCCTAATATATGGTAAACACAAATCCGTATTTTAATCAGCAGACAATAAAAAGACATCTAATATTAGAGCGCATTACTATATTTAGTTGGCGAAATAGCTTAAGCTACAGCAAAATTCACTTGATAAAAAAGCTTGGTGTTTTGCCTCAAATTGGGCGAGCAAATAAATGTCTCAATTATAAGTAGTACCAGCGGCAATGGATGAAAAGTTCACAATTGTTGAATAAGAAATTAAATAAACCTCGGCCTTTAAATTGTTGATGAATTTTGACAACAAAATAAATAGAACTCACAATGCCAATGAGGTTGTCTAATGCAATGACATAAAAATTTGCCTTACTAGCAAAAATACCAAGGTAAACGAGATTTTGTAAATGCCTGTCTTGCCTTAAAATTCAAAACTACATGAACAGGATGCCTGATAACAATCATACGTGGGGAGTTTACAAATTCTATAGAAAATTTAATGCGAGCACCTATAGAGGTCATTATGAATTCTCGAATTCTTAAATGATTGAAGCCAAATTTTGTGCGTAAAATAATACTTACCATACCCTGCTAACTTAGTAATTCAAATGCACTCCCTTGGAAGCAGAGTGAATCGAAATATAAAGAGCACAAAAGAATTTTCTAACAACCTATCACTTTAGCGCCATCATTAAGTCTTAACACTGTGAAAAAGTTACAATTCGGATTCACAGGATAGTTATAATTAATTTTTCAACCTTCAAAGTTCCAAAAAAGGTTTAACAAAGTTTATTGGACTCAGCCTTTTTAAGCTTTTTAGTAGTACTATTATTCCGTCAATCATAGATAGTCCCGATGTAAGAAGTATATTAACCTTAGATGAGCATAGATAATGGGACGCATGATAAGTTTTCCATGATGAAATAACTAAAGGCATCGTTACGTTAAATTTTACTAAGCCTCAAATTTTAAAAAACTTTCTTATTAAAGATTAACTGTAGTTACGAACTTGACTGTGATCAAACAGAAGGCCACACCACCTTGGTTTTTATATCGGCGTCTAGATTTTGCCAGCAAAATCAACGAAATAAAAAAATTGGTGGTTTAAGTCAAGTTAAAATATGTTAATACAGCCGATCAGTTACAAAGTTCGGGTGCTAGATATCCAGTCTTCTTTTTATTCATTTTTCGTTATAATAAATGTAGAAACCATACAAACTAGATTTTTTGAAATTAAAAGTTATTAGACTACTGATATAAGTACGAGCAGTGTAAATTGTCCGCATAATTTTTATACTAATTTTGGACTATTTTAAGTTATGGCAGTTCAAAAAGATGAGCCACAAACCCAGTTATAAGGCATTGTATCACTTACAGCAATATATTTTGGCCCTATTTCATAGATAAGATCTGATATTTCCAAAACCAACTAAAAATGAGGTATGTAGTAGACTTCAAGACAGCGTTATCAAGCATAAACCGAGGTGAGCCTTCGTAGCCATGGAATTCTTAATTTGAAGTTACAAATGAAATGTCACGAAAAAGGTGAAGGATATGCCTAATAAATCTGGGTAACTTCTCTATATTATATAATATATTATATTAAGCTAACAGAATTGAAAGGCACACAAGGAATTATAAATGGGAAATTAATAATGTTAAATAAAACTAGAGTGCAATTCAGGGTATATATGATTCTATTATGACCATATGATTTAGTGCGTTTTTAATGTGTAATCTTTATGCTCTATGTGAGCAGATTTCAAAACACGCCAAACAAGTTCGGCCTTTATTGCGAATTAAGAAAATGAGTCAATGAATTGCTTAGAAGTAAAGATAAATTAAAACTAAATTGGGTCTAATCAAAACAGATGTCTAGTTTGCGGAAGATAAAAAATTATAATAATGCAATAAAGCATCCAAAAGATTTTAAATTAAAAGATAGAAAATAACAAAAATACCTTGTTCCATACAGGATTTCGAGCCCCAATAGTCTGCACACCATCGGACACATGGCGATGTAATTTTCTGGCCTTGTTAAATTCCTTGATGGCTGACAAAGAGCTAGAGGTGCTCAAGTAGTTTGTTGTGGAGAAGGATGAACAGTTAGAAACCGGTAGGCTGGAGTGAACAGGAAGAGGTAGGGCGCTTGAAACAGAGGAACTGGCAAGAAATACAGTGGGAAATAATGAGGCTTTCGAGCTGGATAGATCTATAGACGAAATAGGAGTAAAAGCATCGTTTATTGATTGGTCACAGACTGGAAAAGGAGAAGAGGAATGAGCACTAGTCGTAGAAAGAGTGATTGTGTTCAAAGAGGCACTGCTGGAATTGTCACAGACGGTAAGTGTCGCCTGAGAACTAAGAGGAGCAGAAGAAAAGAAAGATAATGGAGTTGATTTGGTAGCTGAATGAGGAAGCGAAGATTTTGTAGCTGGTCGAATAGGACGGGGCTGTGCACGGATCACATCTATATTGGCAGTGGAACACTCGGTAGAGGCCAATAGAGCATCTGAAGGAACCCGATCAGAGTGGGCTGGCTGGTGCAATCGAGGAAAAGTTGTCGAGGTTGTCTGCTGGATTGGTAAGTTTAAAGTGTCAAACAATATTAAAGCGAGTATTGCAATAATGTATTTATATAGAAAGGTAAGTTGAACGATTATAAGAAGTGCATTGTGTGAAGTACGATATAACACCAAATCTGCAAGCGATTGTATCAGGAATAATTTTCATCTGCAATAACAGTTTAATTTATCTCTATCATATACTAGATAATGGAATGGCTGGAAAATTTATTCCTGGAAAATAATTATCTATTTAACCTAATTATTAATAATATCTCTTTACTGAAAAATAAATTTTCAGACGGAGAATATTTAGCCAAAGATAGACAAGAGGAGACCTTTTCTCATGTATTGATTCTGCCATAATACTTTCATTTTTTAAAAATATAATACAAATAGTGAGTAAGAGGGAGTCAAAAACAGTGTTTAAAGAAACCCTCACACTTTCTACGATTATGCTACCTTTAGAGAGAAGTATGACCCATTATCGAGATCCGGCTGCCACAAGATTGTGGGCTACTGTGGTCGGCCTTATCCCGCTGAGACATACAGGCCCATTCGACAAAGACACACAAAGAACACAAAAATGATTGTAAAGGGAACTGAATCTAACGGTCAGAAGTGGCCAAACATATTGTAGAGACGGGACATAAAATAGAATGGTCGTAAACCAGTAGGTCTGCTGATTAGGGTAAGTCTGCTGTTAAAAGATAGATAAAAGGGAACAAGTTGAATGTGGGGAAAGGTAGTATAAAGTTGAGTATGAACTACTAATAGAAGTTGTTTGACCTTTTTTTCTCAACTTGGTCATATGGGTAGGAAGACTAAGAGAAACTCACCTAGTCCGGAGTCCATTGTATGCATGATCATTTCCAGAGTAGGACTGTAAACGTGGTACATTCCAAGACGTTTGGCCGGCATCGTCAGTGAGCCTCGTCAGTCTTAGCAACACACAACAACTCGTCAAAGAGACAAGTGAAGCTGATCCTTTGACGAAATGTGTGCAAAACAGTAGAGGTATCTCTCCTTCGGCCCTGGGCTACTCACATTTCCTATATCCTCCTATGAAGCCTTCACTGTTACAATTTTTACCGTGCTTATTTCAATGTAGCATCGTGTGCTCCTTGGAGCGGCATTCATGAAACCCTCCACACTCCACGCTGGCGTTCTCAGCTCCTTCACCCTTGTGCTGGGAATGTTAAACAGAGCTGCAATATTGTTACGTAGTTTTCCTTCCCTATGTATTATTACATCCTCTCTCTTGCCTCGTATGATTCGTCTGCTCTCTCCCTGATTCACGAATTTCGCTCGAACCTTGCCACCCTATCTGTGCTACTCGAGGCGTTATTCAACCTTTCTTGCGTCTGGGTGACTAATTCGAGGCTAAAGCCTATGAGTAAGTCTCATTGTCACGCATTCACTACATCGACCACGTCTCTGGTAAAACCTATTGTCAGCCAACTAGCTCCAGTCTCCTCCGTGTCTATCCTGTTTCTATCCCAAATACCAAGTCTTTGACTTCCCATGCCCTAGTCTCTTATGTGCCAACCA